GAGTTAGAGTTGTGAGTAACCGCCTCCTTCCCAGGGTGATGGGTGTTGACAGGCATTTTTCTGTGGTTTTGTAATAACTTGCAGTATGAAAGCAATTAATTGTACCCGCTAGTTGTTAAGAAAGGCCGGGTATTTCTGTTTTGAATCTGGACTGGGTCAAGTAAGTACTGTGCATCCCAGTGCTTCAACTGATTCTTTCTGCAGGCACACTTTTAAAATGTTTTGTTCATTCTTCTTTGTAGATTAATTAATTTTGATAGATTTGAGGTAGAGTGTCACGTAAATATACAGTTCCTTATATTCATGTTAAATGTGATGTTTATTTGGGGAAGAGAGGGTATTACTTTCGTTCTTCAGAATAACTATATAATCTCTTGAGCAGTAAAACCTTGTTAATACTCATGCAGCTAATCCCCAAATAATAATCTACTTAAACAGACTGACTTCACAACAAAAATAACTGCTTAGGCACAAACGATTGTAACTTACTCTGTTTTGGCCTGTAAAGTGTACCTAAAATCCAAATGCATAGATAACTGGAAATTATTTAGGAACTTTTCATTATTCTCAAAAAGTCACAATCTCCCAATTAAAAACAAAAAGGGGAAATATTTTTAAAAGTACTGAAGCTAAGAATTCTAGAAAACTCAGAAATGAAGTTTGGAAGATGAAAACTATAGCCAAGAATGAAAAAGAAGAAACACAAAACCCAGTAATGCTTAACGATTGTACTATTACAATAGTCAAGGCAAGAGACTTCAGTAAATATTTTTGTTCTGTGCTTGGGAAAAAGGCAGATATGATGTTCACATCATGGGATGTATGATAACACACTCTCTGTTTTCACAATAATCAAGGAGAAGGTTAAACAGTAGTTGTACTTAAATTTGGCATTTTTAAGTCGGAGGCTGGGATAGCATACATCCATGAGCGCTGAAAGAGCAGGCCAGAGAATTGTTTATCATTCATACAGATTTTATTTTCTAGTTTTTGGAAAAGAGAAAAAGTTCCAGAGGACTTGAAAAGCACTGTGGAACTACTTTCTGAGAAATGAATGTAATCCTCTCAGTCTGACAGTAGGCTTGAGCGAAATAATAAAATGATTGAGTTGATTAATAAATGTAAAGGATAGTAATTGATGATAATGAGTCCTGGTTCTTGGAAAATAAGTTTGTCATGTTAACTTTAATATTCTTGATGTAGTTGAGAGTTTGTATCATAAAACAGAGTTAAAATTAATACAGCTGTGTAACAGTTGGATTTAAACTTGCATGATATCTTTTTTCTAGTCAACCAGGATGTCAGTACAGTACCTATCAAGTGTATAGCAGCTAACTGATAATGTTTCGTGTAATTGTGAATGTCTCAGTGATGTTGCCTTGGGATCAGATTTTGGTCTTGTTTTATTTAGTTTTTGATAGTGACGTAGGGCTCCAACAGGGGAGTCTCTAAGGCTGGAGCACCTGGAATCCGTCTTCCCATGGGGCAGGGATGTCCCAGCTGCACAACAAGCTACTGGGTTGTCCATGCAGTGAAAACAGTAAACTCAAGGGAAGAAGCGTGGTAGACTGATGAAGGCATCATCTCAGGCTAAGCCATCAGTCTCCATTTGTCATGAAATCCCTAGATTACATTAAATTATTCATGCTAATATTTCCTAAAAGCACAGACTGGAGGTTGAGTGCTATATAACTATAAGAGGACTGGTGACTGTTGCAAAGCAAACTGGGTCACACCTCTGGTTCTGGTAAACTGTGTGCTCTGGTACAGCCAGAGGGGAGGTTGTTCTCAAAGACTGAAGGCTGTAAACTGTTTTTAGAAAGTGTGGGAGTGATCCTAGAAAGCAGTAAAATGGAAAAAAAAGGGTTGTTTTAATGAATCCGGTGATTGGTTATTCAAGAGATCCCTCAATTACGTGAAATCCCGGCACCTGTTTCATCCATAGCGGTTGGTGTCACTCATAAGCGTGGCAGTTCCAGTTTGGTCCTCAGGATAAAGCAGCTGCAGGAGTTGTTGCTTTTACCCATCGAGCAAATTGCAGTGGGCTGAGCTGAGCTGCAGCTTTGGCTCAGGGCAGTGCTGCCCGTCAGTGGTGCGCCCCTGTCCTTACCTTTCTGAGGCCAGCAGCTGCTCCCACCTTCTCTGCCCACTCTGCGGGAATGAAGGGTGTTCTCTTGCCTGCACAGTCTATGAAAAGCCAATTCCCTCTGTAAAATCAGTTTAAATGAATTAAGTCTGTCCTTCTCTTCATTCCTCCGTTGTGGTGTTGTTAGGTGACTGGGCATCCAGTTTCTTTTCGGGGCCTAAATCAAGCTTGTTTTCTCATCTGTTGCCTCTTCCAGCTGGTATGAAATCCTCTCACAAAAAATAGGCTCCTGAAACAGAGATGTGTGAGATTTTCCTCACGGTTGCTGTGGTCAAAAAGGGACTTTTGCTTTCCTCGCACTGGCCGTAGTTCTGTATTTCCAGAGGTGAAGAGGCTGGCAGTGGATACTCACACCTCTTCATTTCAGATGCCAGTAGCAAATCTTTTTAGTACTTCTGTGGTGTTTTTTATAATTTCCATTGCTCTGTCTTGCACATGCTTAATTAACAGTGTTATTCTTTAATGGCTCTCTTATGTTGTTATTAATAGTAAGTGACTCTGATTCATGGACAAAAAAAGATGGCAAGAGTGAAACTGGTCTGTTAAAGACAACTTCAAATCTTCTGCCCATCTGTTTGCTGTGCCACTTGAATTACAAGTATTTCCCTATCTCAGCTTTGCTTTTCTTTGGCCCCTTTCCTTTCTTGAAATTTCCACACAGGGTTTTAGTAACTTAATTGGAAACTATGGCATGCATTTGGTAGTATCAGCTTCAAGTGGTGGGTTTATGCAATATCTCTGTTCTTTTCCTCTGTACTGTCTGCTTTCTTCTGTATCTCCTCTGCCTTTTCAGACCTGTAACTTCTCTAAGCGTACAGGAGTTTCTCCTTTCTCTGTTGTCCCCCTTCCCTGAAGACCCCACGTACCCTGGCTTTACTGAGCTTTTGCTGTGCTGATTATCATCTTGTGGGGACTACAGTAGCTTAGGGCACGCTAGTTCTGAGCAATGTCTCTCCTTCTTCAGGTTCAGTCTTTCTCATCTTCTTTGCCTCAGAAATTGCCTGAGAACTGTTTAGCAAGTCAAACTGAATTTTGTCACGGTTGTCTTTGATTTTTAATACTATGCATTTGCTTTTCTTGGTTTTATTCTTCAGTTTGGTAATGCGAAGATTATAGTTACTTCTAATACCTGCTATTCAGATTATAGTTTCACTTTGTGTAGATGGTCTGAATCTCAGATTCACACAACTGTGGTCAATAAATTTCTTTGGGTGATGGTGATTTTATATTGCCATTTGTTTTTTCAACTGGTGGGGGGCAATAGGGTCTTTGCAAGAACTACATCAGACATTAGGCATTGATCAGGAAGGTTTTTGCCAAGCTGGATTATGCCAAATCAAAGCTCTCTCAGTTCTTTTGAAGTTGCAATCTACTCTGGCATTAGACTCCCCTAGCACAAGGATTAAGCTGTGTTTGGTATTTTGACAGGCGTGCTTTGGAGACAGTTGTTAAATAGGTCTCTGATCTTCTGTCAGAGGAGAGCAGCATATGAGTTAGAAAGCTGGTGTAAGTTCTGAACTGAATGACTGACTTGTTTGTCGTGATGAGCACCAGTTTCTCAGGATGCTCGTCTTTGCTGCAGCCTGGGGTAGGTGAGATGTATGCTCATTTTCTTTGAAGTGTTTGTCAGAACAGTCAGTCTGATCTGAATCTCAAGCCCCAAGTCCATCTTACTCGTGGTTTGGGGTAGCTTGATCTGAAGCAGTGCTCTCACGTGCCAGCGCCCAGCTCTACGATGTTTCTCAGTACCAATATCACAGTTTCTGGGTTTTAGAGACAAGCTCTATTGCTAGGAGTTTCATTTAATATAAGTCAGATGTGTTTTCTGCTGAAGACTGTTGTTACCAGAAGAACTTTCCTGTAACCAACGAGTTTTATGAAGATACATGACTAAATTATGCCTTAAAATTATCCCATTTTGTGTGGTGTTGAGAGGTGGTAACAACATCTAGTGAATCAAGTGAGGTTAGAAGAAGGATTTGAATCGTGGTTAGTTTGAAGAATTTTGAAGTAGTTGAGTCATTTTTAACAAACAAAAATGTAAAGGGATGGTGTTGTTAATAAATACTTTCCTGGTGATAGTGCCTGGAAATTGAACACAGGCTAAGCTCAGAATGCGGATTTTTCAGGTCATCTGCTATAGAAAAGTTAACACACATATGGTGGGTTATCCACATCTGGAAATCTCCAGAGAAAGGCTGCAAATACAGCAAGCAAGATTCTCACTCAGGTAGATGTACAGGTGTTGACACAGCAACTTGCTCAGGGTAGGTCCTTTCCTCTGGTGTTCAGACAAATGGATTATGCAGCAGTGGCTCCTTCTGGCTTCAAAATGTGCAAATTGGAGAGGGGTAGGTGGTTGTTCAATTTTGAGCCGTTAGTGTAGTTGTAGTTGGGTTTTGTGACTCAGCAGTTTTTTGGCTGAGGCATTGTCATTTTCTGACTTTGTGCTCTGCCACAGTGATGTGCACAGCGTAACCGGACTGCTTTATCTCAGCTGCTATGAATTCATCATCCACCAGTCAGTGCCGACCTAATAAGCTGCTTCCCTCTTCCTAGTTGAAACCTGCTATCTGTGTTAAATGTTGTCAAACGCGTCATACTTGCTTTTATTTAAAATGGCTGTATTTTTAATTAATAGTGGTAATGTTACAGATTTGGCAGGCAAGGTGGGAATTATTTTGAATATTGTAAAATTATACACCAAGAATTCTCAAATAAAATATATGGGCTTTATTTGCATCTTGAATTACAGTTTCTCCTTATACATCATTATTTTGAAGAAGAGATGACGCCAATATACATACAGTTTATATGTCAAATATTGACAGAGGCAGCTCTTCTTTCCTTTTAGGAATCTGGGTAAAAACGGCTTATCTAACAGTAGTATTCTATTGGATAAATGCCCACCTCCACGACCACCGCCTCCACCGTACCCTCCCTTGCCAAAGGACAAGCTGAATCCACCTACACCTAGTATTTATGTAAGTAAATCTAATGTAGAAGTACATTGGTGACTGTTTTTTGTAATTATGTGGATATCTGAATTACATAATGTTATTATTTTAAAGATGCACTATTCACAGCTTAGTTCTAATTACAGTGCTCTCCCAGCTAGTGTATAAGCAGGAAAATGCTAACCTTAAAGAAAATCTTGAGACTTAGTTTGACTCTTAAAGTACTTCTAAATTAAGAATTTCAGTAAACAGGAGGAAAAACAGCTTCAGAATATTTTTGTTTATTTTTAAATACACAAAATATTGGCAGAATAAGCAAAACAGTTCATGGCATACAACATACAATATTTCAAATAGATATTTACATTTTTTGCAAGTGACAGTTTAGGTATAAATGAGCAAGTAATTAAACTAAAATCTCCTAACAATCTGCTTCAAAATATAGTAAAGAAAAATAAATAAAAGCTGAGGTGATGTTAAGAACATCATCTGTAGAATGAGCTTTTTTGACCTGTAAATTAAGTTAGTGTATTATCTTGCTCTTCAGAAAATTCTGTAGATTTAGAGAATGTACAAGGTTACTGTCAGATAAAGAAATAAACTGCAGGAAACTCGAGTTGCAAAAGCTGAAGCAACCTGGGACTAATTTATGCCGAGGAATAAATTGCAGTAACAAATCAATTTCAGGAGTGAACCTAGCTTTTAACATGGAAATGGTTGAATGATGTACCTGTTCATTCCCCACAGTACAGGGGAATGTTCCTGTCTTCTTTCTGTTGTTTCACTTTTTTTTACTATTGTTTCTTATTTTACGAATAAGGAGCCTAAGTTCACCTGACATCTAATATTCAATTTTACAGTTGGAAAATAAACGAGATGCTTTCTTTCCACCTTTACATCAATTTTGTACAAATCCAAACAACCCTGTTACTGTAATACGTGGCCTTGCTGGAGCGCTTAAATTAGGTAAGTTTACTTTCTAAGTTTTTTTTTTTACTTTGGAAAAAAACGTATTTGTTTTAAAAAGAAGTCTCTCAGTTCTTAGAAGTGGCTGTTTTATTTCTGTAATGCTGTATTACTTGTGTATTCCAAGTAGTTAGGGTAATGTGTCATTTCTCAGTTTGCTGTTGTTTCTAATCTTGATCATCTCCACAGAAAAACCCCTAAAAATCCAACAGATTTTGTTGAGCACAGAGAGGAGCTGAGATGTGGATATGGAATCTTACAGATAGACTTTCTTCCTACGAGAACTATGGCTGCATGTCTTTGTGCTTAGATTTGATGATATATATCTGACTGTGTGCAATATTTTGAACTCTGTAGATAGCAAAATTATTATTGCTGGTAGGAAATGTGTTATATGATGGAAATGCATTCATAAAACTGTAGTCTGAAAAATACTTTATTGGTAATAGATTTAAACATTGTTTGCAGATTTGTTTACAGAAGTCATGTAAAATGTTTCTTAGAATATGGTCCATACAGTAGCTGCCAAGTTTTTTCTAAGCATCTACTGTTGTGTGCAGAAAAGCTTTTTGAGTATTATTCGTGTGTGTTAATTCTTAACCTACAGGTTGGCTGTGTTATGAAGGCTAAAGGGAAAAAATGCTTTAGTTTAAACCTTTAGGTAACTTCAGGTATTAATGTCTTCTTTTCTTGAAACTTTTTATTGTATTTTTGCTGTCACTTATGAATTTCATTCCTATTTATTAGATCTAGGACTCTTCTCTACTAAGACATTGGTAGAAGCAAATAATGAACACATAGTAGAAGTGAGGACACAGCTACTGCAGCCAGCAGATGAAAACTGGGACCCCACTGGAACAAAGAAAATCTGGCGTTGTGAAAGCAGTAGATCTCATACAACAATTGCTAAATATGCACAGTACCAGGCCTCCTCATTCCAGGAGTCTTTAAGGGTAAGTCCATTGTTATTATTTAGGATATAATCTACAAACTGTATACTAACTCTGGAACCAATTAGCAATGGCTGTTGAAAACAAACAGAAGCTTTTTAAGGAAAAGGAGACATCTCCATGAGCATGAAGAGCACAGATAAATTTACAAAATCTGTTTTGAATAGAGGGTCAAATAGTATATAGGGTGTTCCTCCCAAATGCTTGATGTAAAACTTAATTTTCTTAATGCAAAACTGGCTATTACATACTGTAAAAGCTTTTTAGCTTAAGCTTTCATATAATACTGTCAAAATTCATGTTAAAACTTAAGAGAGAGAACTTAAGATGCCTTTTTTTAACTTGTATTGCTTCTAATTTCACATACTCTTTGAAATCAAATTTCTTTGTTCTTCATGGTATCCTGAATTAATTTGGATGTGGTTTATTAGAAGTTTGCACTCATACTTGTCTTTTGAGCACAACAGTTTAAAATATTAAAATAATATTTTTTTCTCCAGAAAAGTGGCTGATGCTTTCCATACTTGCTATTGTTAGGTTCCAAACATAATAGTTTCTATTTAGTTTAGAAGTTTGAAATGTTATTTTATTGGTATTACTTTTTAATATTTTTGCTGAATTAGTGAGCACATCCTTGGAATTAGCTATGGGCACTTCTCAGAGGCTTATGTTATCTGCTGTTATAAAAAGATTAGGCTAAGGTGGGACTAAGATAAAAAGATGCTCTTGACCAGTTAATTAGAAAATAGGGAAAACACCAATGTGGGGAATTGACTGTTGCAGTTTTCAGCAATGGTTTCAGTAAGAAAGGAAAAAGAAATTCTATATTTAAACTTCATGCTTTAGAGGAAAGGATTAAAAATGAATCAGTACTTGAAGAAAAGAGAAGGGAAGGTAGTCACAAGGTTTTGAGTGAGACTGATACAGCATGAGGGAAAGAAACAGGAATACCGTTGGGAAGCAGAGAGCACTGAAGTTGTCAAGAGCTTGGGACATAAATGGGTTTTTTCTTCCTCTGCAGTGGTAATAAATTTAAGTAGGATATCAACTGAAGTTTTCTGGTGCCCCTTGAACAGTTGCACCAGCATGGTATTCTTGTACATCGTTCCAGAGGGACTGGAGAACATTATATATATATAATGTTCCAGTGAAGTACATGTTCAATAACGTACATAATTGATCATATACCAGCTTGTCAGCAG